TGAGAAGAGCCCTGCTGGATCAGATCATTCACCAGGGGTCCATCTAGTTCAGCATCCTGTCTCACACAGTGGCCGCCAGTTTGTCTGGAGGGCCAGCAACAGGGCATAGAGGCCGAGGCCTTCCCCTGATGTTGCCTCCTGGCTCTGGGATTCAGAGGTTTACTGCCTCTGAATGTGGAGGTTCGCTTGATCCGCCATGGCTGATAGCCAACCTATAGGCGTATCCTCCATGAATCTTTCATTCCTTGGTGTCAGGAGCGTGTGTGGGCGGGAGGGTGTCATGTAATCTCTCTGGCCACTCTACTAAGGTTCCTAGGTAGGATTATAGCTCAGCCGGCTACTGATCTGTTTTTAATTCATACCTACTGGGGAAGAAGTGGACCTTTCTTCTAAGTAGACATGCAACAAGAGCAGGCTGCAAGCATCATGGGAGAAACACATGGAGTTCTGGGGCTTGTAGTTCTCTGAAGGTGGTTGTCCGTCTAACTTTCTAGCAGATCTGTCGTTCCCATGGTAGGGGGCATACAATTAAACTGTATCAAATAAGATTGAACCATGACAGACTAATAATCAGTGCTCTCTCTAAGCTGTGGAGTCTTGTGAGCAAAAAATTCTACTCTGTGAGCTGCTGGCATTAAAGTTGCGAGCGAGCAATTCGGCTGCTGCATCGATTAGTCTTCTCTGGAGCCCTCCTTCCCGAGCGGAGACAAAACTGTGTGAGCCGGGGGCGAAAAAACTGTGAGCTAGGTCACACTAACTCAGCTTAGAGGGAACACTGCTAATAATACTTACAAATGAATGTTTGTAATTTCTTCTTATGTTTATTAGCTGCTATGACCAAAGGTCTTAAGCTCAATTATCAACCATGGATATACATCATTAGCCTCAAAATACGAACTTTACTGTCAAAATTTACAGTCAAAATAATCAAATTTAAAAGATCTAAAGATAATTTCCAAACGAACAGTGCAATTCGAGCGAAACTACTCAAATGAGTTCCATAGAAAAATACAATCTATTTGTTATTAGCTCAGAAGATTCACTAAATAGTGTTAAGTCCTATTTGATATAGTTGTTTCAGTGATTCTCTGTTTGGTCGTGATGCAATCAAACTGGCCTTGATTGCTTAGGTGGACGGACCTTCATTGTAATACAGGGAGGGAGCCTATGTCAGAGTCCTGAAAGGTCTCCCTGAGAGGCATTATCAATGTATTTTTCACCAGAGACTGAAATTGACGGGTGTGTCCCTGTTTCCCCACTGGTTTTAAAGGATTTGGGCCTCACTTTGGTATGTTTAAGATCCTAGGTGGTTTAAAATATTATCCAGTGATGTTGTTATCTTTTACCGATGCCTTATTGCTCTCCCTTTGTCCTGACAGCCTGTTGGGTTGCCAACTTTCAGGTGGGCATGGAAAATTTATGACACTGTATAATAGCTGTATGCTTAAGGTCGATCCAGGGGGTCATTTCCTGCGGGAGCGCACATGAGCACAGCTCCGGCAGTAAAGAGCCCAGGGGGCGGGCACATGCGACAAGCCCCACCCCCTGCTCCCAGCAGCCCTCAGTCAGAGCAAGAAGCAGCCAGGTAAGCTGCAGAGGCCCCCCCGGTCCAAAACAGTCCAGCAGCACCTTTAAGACCAAGTTTTATTCAGGTACAAGCTCTCCCTCCTCCCCCCCAATAGCCAGCAATCCAAAACAGTCCAGTGGAGCCTGAGCGGTGGGTGTTGCCTTCTGACATACTTCTGGTGATGTCAGGGGGCGTGGCATGTGCAAATGAGTTATACTAATGAGCTCCTGCACCTCTTTTTCTTCAAAATGACCCCTGGTAGATCTATTTTGTGCTTTTTACTTTTCTTTAAAAAAAAAAAATTCTATACTATTATATACATGTCAGTGTCAAGTATTACGGAACATTGGTTCACCAAAACAATACATCAAATTACCTTCAAACATTCCAACAGCACCTTCTTAGTTGCACAGTCACTAGTCCGGTTGTGAAACTGACAAGGTGCTGTTTGAATGCTTGGACATAGTGTAGAAAAACATGTCAGTGTCAAGTATGACGGAACATTGGTTCACCAAAACAATACATCAAATTACCTTCAAACATTCCAACAGCACCTTCTTAGTTGCACAGTCACTAGTCCGGTTGTGAAACTGACAAGGTGCTGTTTGAATGCTTGGACATAGTGTAGAAAAACTAAGGAAAAAACCCCACCTTAAGCATACATAAGAACATAAGAGAAGCCAGTGTTGAATCGGGCTAATGGCCCATCCAGTCCCACACTCTGTGTCACACAGTGGCCCAAAACACCAGGTGCCCTCAGGAGGTCCATCAGTGGGGCCAGGACACTAGAAGCCCTCCCACTGTTGCCCCCCCTCCAAGCACCAAGGATACAGAGCATCCCTTGCCCCAGACCGAGAGTTCCTGTCTATCCCTTGTGGCTAATAGCCGTTGATGGCTCTCTGCTCCGTATGTTTATCCATAAGAACATAAGAGAAGCCAATGTTGGATCAGACCAATGGCCCATCCAGTCCAACACTCTGTGTCACACAGTGGCCAAAAACACCAGGTGCCATCAGGAGGACCAGCAGTGGGGCCAGGACACCAGAAGCCCTCCCACTGTTGCCCCCCACCCCAAGCACCAGGAATACAGAGCATCCCTTGCCCCAGCCTGAGAGTTCCTGTCTATACCTTGTGGCTAATAGCCACTGATGGATCATCATTCTTGCAGGATCATAAGGCAATAGTTTTAGCTCACAGCCGTATGTGTTGGCTAACTATGTCGCCGTTTTTCCCATCAAAGGAACTCTGGTTGCCATAGGTTTCGTAAGGGGGATACTGTAGCTGAAGCAGCTGTTGAATCCACACAGTCCAGGTTTACAGTGTGCCATGTGCACCTGGCTCAGTGCCTGCAGACCGGGGATCTACGGCCCGGCAAAGCCATAGCTGATGTCTTGATCTTGCTTGGAGGCTGAAATCCAGTCAAGTCATACCGACGGCAAGAACATCACTGCCCCAGACGTAAGAACAGAAGAGAAGCCAATGTTGGATCAGGCCAGTGGCCCATTCAGTCCAGCTCTCTGTGTCACACAGTGGCCAAAACCCAGGTGCCATCAGGAGGTCCACCAGCGGGGCCAGAACTCCAGACCCCCTTCCACTGTTGCCCCCCCAAACACCAAGAAGACAGAGCATCCCTGCCCCAGACATAGGAACATAAGAGAAGTTGTGTTGGATCAGGCCAATGGCCCACCCAGTCCAACACTCTGTGTCACACAGTGACAAAACCCAGCTGTTCTTGAAAAAGAGCAGCTTCTGTCAAGTGCTCTCTCAGCCCCACCTACCTCACAGGATGTCTGTTGTGGGGAGGGGAAGGGAAAGGAGTTTGTCAGCCACTCTGAGACTCCTTTGGGTAGTGAAGGGCGGGGTATAAATCCAATCTCCTCTTCTTCTTACCCGGCCCGCAAGCACCTGGTATGGATGGAAGTATAAAGTACTCCCCCTCTATGGTATTGGAAGTATAAAGTACTCCCCTAGTCTTGCATATGATTAAATGCATTTATTGGGGCTTTTGTGGGTTCCCCAGTAAATTAATTGCTCTCACTGCTAGGAATCAATTGCTTTTGTTTGTATTTTGAGTAAAAAATAATATGGTTAATAGGGTTTGATTGTGTCCTTTATAAAGTTTATATCTCCGGTACCTGGCACTATATCTTATGGCACACGTGGCCTGGCCCGACAAAGTGACGTTTATGTCCGAACCGGCCCTCGTAACGAATGAGTCTGACACCTCTGCTTTAAACGCATTGCTATGCTACAGGCTGACATGGTGGTGTGGCGTTCTGTTTTCCAGGGGCGGTTCGTCCAGGGTGGAAGAAGCATGTGACATCTACGCAAGAGCAGCCAACATGTTCAAAATGGCCAAGAACTGGAGCGGTATGTAGCGCCTTGACCTTTTGTGCATTTTAAACTCATAAGAACATAAGAGAAGCCAGTGTTGGATCAGGCCAATGGCCCATCCAGTCCAACACTCTGTCTGTCACACAGTGGCCAGAAATACCAGGTGCCCTCAGGAGGTCCAGCAGTGGGGCTGGGACACTAGAAGCCCTCCCACCGTTGCCCCCCCCCCAAGCGCCAAGAAGACAGAGCATCACTTGCCCCAGACTGAGAGTTCCTATCTATACCTTGTAGCCAATAGCCACTGATGGACTTCTGCTCCATATTAATTCCCTCTTGAAGCCGTCCATACTTGTAGCCGCCACCATCTCCTGTGGCAGTGAATTCCATGTGTTAATCACTCTTTGGGTGAAGAAGGACTTCCTTTTATCCGTTCTAACCCGACTGCTCAGCAATTTCATGGAGTGCCCACGAGTTCTTGTATTGTGAGAAAGGAAGAAAAGTACTTCTTTCTCTGCCTGCTCTATCCCAATGCATGATCTTATAAACCTCGATCATGTCACCCCTCAGCTGTCGTTTCTCCAAGCTAAAGAGCCCCAAGCCTTTTAACCTGCCTTCATAGGGAAAGTGTTCCAATCCTCAGCGAATGTCAGCTGTAGAAGGCCGCGTACCCAGACAAGAGTTTCCATTCAGAGCCCCGCGTGACCACCTGTGCTTTCTTCCACAGCCGCAGGGAACGCTTTCTGCCAGGCCGCCCAGCTACATCTGCAGTTGCAGAACAAGCACGACGCAGCCACCAGCTTCGTGGATGCCGGCAACGCTTTCAAGAAAGCTGATCCGCAAGGTAGGTGCGTGCTCGTCAGAGCGGTGGTGAGATGACGCGCCGATCCCTCATCCAAGTACTCCGAGCAGCTGAATGTGGAATTTGTTGTTTCGTCTGTTAACTCCTTAAAAATGTAGAATCCGGGTCTCCATGGAGCCGAGTTCACAGAGCTCCCTCGGGTTAGCAGAATAACCCTTTAGCTGTTGCAGATTTTCCGGGTTGTATGGCCGTGGTCTTGGCATTGTAGGACCTGACGTTTCGCCTGTAGCAAAAGACAAAAAAGACCCCCTCACTTCTGCCAGAATATACCGCATACCCTGCAGTTGTGGGCAGGTTTACATTGGGACCACACAGTGTAGCATTCAGACAAGAATAAAAGAACATGAAAGACACTGCAGACTGGGCCGTCCTGAAAAATCCAAAACAAGGAGGTCACAGCCACAATAATCCACGAGAAAAGTATTCACACAGCTGTGAAGACCAGCGCTGCAATACATATGAAACAAGCAAGAACCCAACTTAAGCATGAAGTGAATGTAATATGGCAGGTCAGTCTCAACACGTCAGGTAAGTATATAATAAACCAAGTCCAAGGTCAAGCACGGATTCAGAAAAAAGTCCTCAAAGACCTATGTCACAAGAAATTCCCCGGAGTAAGCTTCCATTTCGTTGACACCTTCTTCCAAACAACATCAAAGAGGCAGAATCATGTCTTCCAAACAACATAGAGACAGAGTTGTTTCTTCTATTATTTCATGAATTGCATATTCCAAAAGGTAATACAAAAGTCCCAATCCATTGTATATAGTATTTCTTGGAAAGCGGGCATGCTAGTGTGAAGATAGTGAAGAGAGCCAGTTTGGTGTAGTGGTTAAGTGCGCGGACTCTAATCTGGGAGAACCGGGTTTGATTCCCCACTCCTCCACTTGCACCTGCTGCAGGTTGACGAAATTCCCCGGAGTAAGCTTCCATTTCGTTCACCTTCTTCCGAACCACATCAAAGAGATAGAATCATGTCTTCCAAACATCATAGAGACAGAGTTTTCTTCTATTATTTCATGAATTGCATATTCCAAAAGGTAATACAAAAGTCCCCATTATATATAGTATTTCTTGGAAAGCGGGCATGCTAGTGTAAAGGTAGCGCCTTCGTGCTAGTGACGGCAACCTGAAAAATCAGCACTGGCTGAACATAGCCTAACTCAAACAGGACACAGTATTTTTTTCCAAGACACTGAAAGGCTGGACAACACATCCAATTACCGTGTCAGATTACACAGGGAAGCCATTGAAATTCATAAACATAAACACAATTTCAACAGGAAAGAAGAGAGTTTAAAGATAAATAGGGTATGGTTTCCTGTCCTGAAAAACACAAAAGGCTCTGCATCTGACAACAGCACTACGGATAAGATTAGAACCTCCTCAGGAAACCTCAGGAAACAATCCATATACAAAAGAACCTCCTCAGGAAAGCTCCTCGATTAGCATGTTTCATAGCCTGGGGAACTCCTACAAGATAATGACTCAGCCCTACCCCCACCTTCCGGAGTAGATATAAATGATCTCCCTACCATTTTTCTTCTCACCTTGACACAGAGAGTCCTCCATCTTTCTGTGTCATCCCTCTGAGGATGCCAGTCACAGCTGCTGGCAAAATGTCGGGTCCTTCAATGCCGACACCACGGCCACACAGCCCGGAGAGGTCCCGGTATAGTTCCCTTGTTGCCATAAGAGTTCTTCTTCAGTTGCTGTGAAACAAAAACGTGAAAACAAAACATACAGTCAAATACAGTGCTCATGCTTACAAAACTGAAAATTTAAACACTCTGTAATGCACTGATGGAGCTGCGGTGGCTCAAGTGGTTAAGACGCTGAACTGCAGGCTGTGGAAGGTCAGTAGTTCAGCAGTTCGAGACCCGAGTGTGCCGCATGATGGAGTGAGCTCCCGTCTCTGCTCCCAGCTCCTGCCAACCTAGCAGTTCGAAAGCAAGAAATTGCAAGTAGATAAATAGGTACCACTTCGGTGGGAAGGTAACAGCGTTCCGTGCGCCTTGGCGTTTAGTCATGACCACGGAAACGTCTTTGGACAGCGCTGGCTCTTCGGCTTTGAAACGGAGATGAGCACCCTAGAGTCGGATTCGACTGACTTTCGAGCAAGGGAACCTTTACCTTTAATGCACTGACTCACCTATTACAGGGGAAATGATTCTATATTGAATGAAACAGTGAGAGAAACTTTTCAAGCCCTCCAGCAGGTGTGTCCTTGGTGCTAATCTCCCAGTCTCCCGTCCGGGATAATAAGCTACAAAAAATGAGGAAATAGTAGGTAAGGAGCGCAGCCTTCTGTGCAAGAGCAGAGCTGGGCCGCTGTGAAGAAACAAGAGTGCCTCTGAGCATAGTGCGGTGATTCTTTCAGCTCTGGCCGCCGCATGTCCGTCGTGGCTTCCCGGCAGGTTGAAACGCCGCTCCTCCTCTGGAGGTTTTTAAGCAGAGGCCGGACGGCCATCTGACGGCAGCGCCGGTCCCGTGAACTTAAGACAGATTGTGAGAGGGAGGGCAGGAAGGGGCGAGCCAGGGAGCGGTCCTTGTGGGCAGCAGAGGAGAGGACTCGCAATAAGGGGTTTATATTAAGGGCGGGGAGGTACCAGCTGGATCTTAGGAGAAACTTTTTGACCATCAAGAGTTGTGCAAAACAGTGGAATCGGCTGCCTGGGGAGGTTGTGCGCTCCCCCACCCTGGCAGTCTTCAAGCAGCGGCTGGACAAATGTGAGCCAGTTTGGTGTCGTGGTTAAGTGCGCGGACTCTAATCTGGGAGAGCCAGGTTTGATCCCCCACTCCTCCACTTGCACCTGGCTGGATGACCTTGCGCAAGCCGTAGTTCTGATAAGAGCTGTTCTTGAAAAAGAGCAGTTTCTGTCAGAACTCTCTAAGCCCCCCCTCCCGCACAGGGTGTCTGTGGCGGGGAGGGGAAGGGAAAGGCGTTTGTAAGCCGCTGTATGACTCCGAGTGAAGGGCGGGGTATAAATCCAATCTCCTCCTCTTGTTCTTGTTCTTCTTGTTCTTGTTCTTGTTCTTGTTCTTCTTGTTCTTGTTCTTGTTCTTCTTGTTCTTCTTGTTGTTCTTGTTGTTCTTGTTCTTGTCGTCAGGGATGCTCTAGGCCAGTGGTGGCGAACCTACGGCACGGGTGCCAGAGGCGGCACTCAGAGCCCTCTCTGTGGGCACGCGTGCCATCGCCCCAGCCAGGCCCAGACCATCATTAAAGTGTTGAATTCTCTGCCAAATAATTTTAAGAAAATGAAAGCATTTGGGATTGCTTTCCTTACTTTGTTTGGATCATCTTAAGTTAATGTATGAGTTGTTTTTTCTAAAGTAGAACCTCAGTATTCAGGTTAAATTGCTGTGTTGGCACTTTGCGATAAATAAGTGGGTTTTGGGTCGCAGTTTGGGCACTCGGTCTCTAAAAGGTTCGCCATCACTGCTCTAGGCTGAGCGGGGGGTGGGGGTTTGGACTAGAGGGCTCATATGGTCCCTTCCAACTCTGTGATTCTGTGAGTGCTTGGCTCTCGTAGCCCTTTCTTGCATGCCCAGGTTAATGCTGATTTCCACTTTGGGGTCAGGAAGGAATTTCCCCCAGGTCACATTGGCCCAGGGATCCTGGAGAGGTGTTTTTTTCCGCCTTCCTCTGAGCTTAGCACAAGAGTCACTGGGGGAGTGGGGTGGGGGCGATAGTTGTATCCTTCCTGCAAAGGGCAGGAGTCGGAGTAGATGACCCTTGAGGTCCCTTCCAGCTGTTACGTTTTACTCTCTTTTTTCCGGTCTTTAGTTCTCCTCCCAATACTGCACAGCAACTAGGACAAGCAGGCCTTTATCTCCCCGGCTGCGCTCTTTCTAGGTCAAAGGGCTGCTTCTCTCTCTCTCCTGGCAAAAGGGTCCCCTCTTCCAGGGTTTTGCAGGCAATCATTAACCGGGAAGGTGCGGAGAGGCACCCACTTTTGCGTCAGACGGCCGTGGGGGGATAACGAAGTAACCTGGGGGGAAGCAGATTTAATCCTCCCGTGGATTTTGCTTAATCTTTGGAGATTTGCGTTGTGATTATCGCTGCGGCAGCCGGAGCGAGGAGCGCCGGGAGTCGCCGCTCAGCGGGGAACGGAGCCGCACTGGAAACACGCGCTGCCTCGCCTGAGGGGTCTTCGTGTGGCTTCAGAGGGGGCTGCCCTGACATCTGCAGCCTCCTCCTGTTTCGATCTGTCCGGATCTTCTGCTCTTTAGGCCAAGCTTCCTTTTCTCCCAGAGCGAACCCTGGAGGGGGAAATGTTGCCCGCCGATTGTGTATTGCAGAGTGCGCGCGGTGTATGTGTAGATGGTGTGGGGCAGAGATTGGTGTTAGCGCCACCCGATTCCTGGTCCGTGAGAGTTCAGAAGAGACCACCGCTGCAGTGGGAATAAATTTCGGCTAAAACTGCGAGGGCTAGGAATCAGCTTTTTAAAAGCCTGCAATACCTAATTCCAAGGAATGTAGAACATTAAAGACGAGGATTACGGTATTTTCCAGTCATTTGAAATGTAACGTGGGAGAGTTTTACGGGTCCCATGGACCACCAAAAAGACAAATCCGTGGATTCTAAGTCAAATCAAGCCTGAACGCTCCCCAGAATCTAAAATCAGAGAATCACAGAGTTGGAAGGGGCCCTAGAGGCCATCTAGTCCAACCCCCTGCTCAGTGCAGGTCAGCCTAGAGCATCCCCAACAAGGGTTCGTCCAGCTGCTGCTTCAAAACGGCCAGTGAGGGGGAGCTCACCACCTCCCTAGGCAGCTGGTTCCACTGTTGCACAACTCTGACTGTCAAAAAGCTTTCCTGAAGATCTAGCCGGTCCCTTCCCACCCTTCATTTAAACCCACTCGGTGTAGTGGGTTAAGTGCGCAGGCTCTAATCTGGGAGAACTGGGCTTGATTCCCCCCTCCTCCACTTGCACCTGGCTGGATGACCTTGGGCAAGCCTTAGTTCTGATAAGAGCTGT